CCGTCGCCTCAGCGCTCCGTGGGTGAGCTGGTCTCCTCAGGGACGCCTCAGCCCGACGGGAGGGCGAGGCGGAGGGCAGCGCCCGGCCGCCTCTCCGGCCTCTCCTTCAGCCGTGCTTCTGCCCCCCCGCCTCAACTCGGCCGCCCCCATGTTCCAGCTGCCCCTCCTCAACTTCAGCCCTCAGCAGGTGGCCGGGGTGTGCGAGACCCTGGAGGAGAGCGGCGACGTGGAGCACCTGGGGCGCTTCCTGTGGTCGCTGCCGGTGGCGCCGGAGGCTGGTGAGGCGCTCCACCGCAACGAGTCGGTGCTGTGCGCCCGCGCCGTCGTGGCTTTCCACGGCGGCCACTACCGCGAGCTCTACCACATCCTGGAGAGCCACAAGTTCCCCAAGGAGTCGCACGCCAAGCTCCAGGCCCTGTAGCCCTGTCCCCATCAAAGGGCCGGTTGTATCTATAAGGCTGGCGGCAGCTCCGCGGGCCATCAGACGAGGTCTGGCGGGCCGGATTTGGCCCGCGGGCCTTGAGTTTGACACCCCTGCTGTACAGTATATCAGGATTGGAAACTCCAAAGTGTCTATGGGCTTTTTTAAACAAACATCCTCAAGACCTACACCAGCCCGAAAAATGAATAGAGAAAGAAAAATGAAACCTATAAATGGCCAGAAATCCACTTCCAATGAAGGCCAAAACAAGGAGAAACTGTGGCTTATAGTAACATAACATCAGTAACTCTTGAAGTTTCAATAGTGAAAAATGACATTTCCCCCCTAAAACTACCACTAAAACTTCCTTTAATCCACAGCCTTGAGGGCTGAACTTTGCCCACACCAGGCCACATTTTGACCAGCTTTATTGTATGTGAATGGCATTTTTAGGCACATTGTTTTTTTTAAATACCATTCCCTTTTTTCTGGGGGTGTTCTGGGACTATGTAGCTTGCCCAAGACTATACAGGCTCACTCTCACCATATGAGACACAGTGAGGAACTGAACTCCCAATTCCTAGTTCTGCAGCCAGATGCTCCAACTTACTGAGCAATCCAGCCATCTTAACATCCACAATACTGTCCACCTTAACCTACAAATAGAACTAAAAATATAAATAAATAGTATCATTTTTCTCACACATCTTCTTTTATAGTTTCTCCACTCTCCGAGCATGTGTGAAATTCTGCACATGCAAAGCTCTTCTGACTCCTCCCCAGCACTACAGTACCTGTTCCACCCCCTTCCCAAACCTGCATCTGCAGATCAACACAAGAAAGTCACAACATGATAAGAAATGTAATGAATCTGAAAGGCTTCCTTGTGCAAGCAGAAATGCTTTCTTACCACACAACATCTTTGGAATCAAGAAATATTTAGAGCAAAGAAAAAATGCTGCTTTAGTCAAAAGTGACATTAATGGCACTGTTATGTGAAACAAATTTCATATAGAAAGCGTGTGCTTCTTTGTTTGCAAATAACCAAAGAAATTTCAAAATGCCAGCTAGAGTGCCATTCTGGTTGCATTCATTCTAAATGTTTAACCCTAGTCTTAAAAATAAAACTTCTCTATAAAGGACACAACAATCAGAAAAGTTAGAAGCAATTGTGTTTCAACTGTATTTTTAAATGCCAAATAAGAACAGAGGATGATCAGAAAGGATAAGGGCCTAAAGGATCACTTGCTTTCAAACTACAATACTATAAACTTTTGCCCATGGGATTGCACTTAAATTGGCAGTCTTAAAGACTATACCACAAACATTTCCATGCAACAAGGTGTAACTCTCTCCATAATTCCTTTAGCATGGAGAACACTGTATGGCAGGAGTCATTCATAGATCACAGACACAGCTTTCTGGGAAGGATTCTGCTGCGGTATAAAAATCCATAGGAATCACTTCTGGTCAATGGCTACTGTATCCTTGAAAAGCTTGAGTCACACTTTATTTTCTCCCCTGGAGACCATCAGTCACACAGAATGGAGAACTGGCTCCAAGAAGCCACATTCTTAACAATGTACAATATAGCTATTTTATTACTTGAAACTAGATACAGGATCAATGACAACTGCTTTAAAAAACAATTGTTTAAATCCTCACACATATAATCAAGTAAGAATGCCTTGCATCAAACTCATTTCTCTTAGAAAAAAATGACGATATGGGACAGCTTCCTATAAAAAGAAAATCTTTCTATCACAAAAGCATAGTTCTGTGTGAGTGTGCATCAGAAACAGTGGCTTCCTCTAAGCAAGAGTTTGACTGTGAACATTACAAATGGAATCAAACATAACGTGCCTACAAATTCTCAAGTTTCCAATACATACATGATGATGATGGGAAATCACCATTCCTGTGACTACAATCCACAAGACTACTAACAGACGGGTCTGTTCTTTCTAGCTCTCTCCTCTCTCTCACAAGTTCAGTTCCTAATGATCCAAGTACCATAGATGAAGATCTGGGCACATCACTGTACCGCCATGAGGAATCTAAAACATAAGTTAAAACTGTTACGTCTTCTTACTTCCTTGCTACAAATTTTAAACACTCAGCACTTAACTGCCATGCTCTTGAATGCACACAGCCCTACCGGCCTGTCACTTCTCTTCTGAATATTGTTAAAACATATGTTTGCAAAGGGAGCAAGTAGGAGGTGACTGAATCAAACATTTTAACTTTTTCTCACCAAGTGCACGGAGAACAGAGAGGGATATGGAAGTATTATCTAAACATGTCCCAAATAGAGTAATTGAATGTATCTCTCTCTCAAAAAAAGTGGGCCCCACATTTTCAAAATGTTTGCTACACTGATTTATCACTTGATGGTCAGTTAATATAACTCTGGGTTATAAATTATTTCCTTGTCTATTTCAAAGCTGCAGTTTTGGAAACTATTGCATATGAATCCAGCTCTACTCCACAAAAGCCCAGTAAGTTTGTAAGAACTGTATTCAACGGATGTCCTTCTGCCTTTCTGTTCCAGGAGAGGCTTCAATCAATGGAATGGGAAGAGAGCTGCCATAACAAATTCTTTAGCTAATGCACTTCCCATCTCCATCTCATGCAAAACTTCCAAAAGGTTAGAGACCCTCTAGAAAAGCATGGGAAATGGTACAGGAATAGAAGAATAAACAGAAATTGGCTGCCTTCTCATTCCACTTAAAAAACTGGCATGAGATTAAAAGACCTTCCAATCTGATAGAGACACCACTGGATTTAAGATAATTTTTAAGGAGTAGAATCTAGAGTTTAATATAATACCATAATTTTGTTAGCACAAAACAATCTGTTGCAGCAAAATGAAATTTACACAAATTTTATTCATCACTTACCTGAAACTGTATTTAAACCATTACTTCTCACACTGGAGGTAGATGCATAAGAAAGCTTAGGTCTCTTAGAATCAGTATCCTGTTGCTGGTTATGTAGCCTTGAAGAATATGCTCCCTGAGTTCTTTCAGATTCACCAAACCATGAAGATGTAAGAGGCGAAGATGATGACATAGACTACAAGCAGTGTTGGAAATAAATTAATGTTTTTCTGAAAAATAGAACCAGGTCTACAAACATAGCCCTGAACTTAGTTTAGAACAGTGAACTAGTAAAAGATTAAATCAAATGCACTAAGTGAAAAAGCCTGGATAAAATAATGCAGACAGTTTGTGCATAAATGAAGGTACTTTAAAATGAACAGGCTTAATTATTTTCAGGGGAAAGGACCATTGATTTCTTATCCAGTCCTTGAAGGTTCACAGGCAAGCCCCTTCCCCTTTGAAGAAAGAAGCACCACTATTTCCAGAGATAATGGGTAGGTGGGTGTTTTTCTTCTGCTCAACACTTAAATGCCAGTTGCAAGTGGAACCGTTATCTTAAATCACAAATCAGAAATAGTGGGGATTCCCTTCTGTTCTGGCACTTACAAGCACTTGTGGAGCCCTAACATCAATATCCAGTAGGTATCTACTGAATGAAGAGGAGCTGAAGAGGAGCACAGCACCAAATGGAAAAGCTTCACCCAGCACCATGGTTAGGAATCCAATAATACAGTGGTGCCCCGCATAGCGACGATAATCCATTCTGAAAAAATCGTCGCTATGTGGATTCATCGCTGCGCGTGGCAAAAAAGCCCATAGGAACGCATTAAAATATGTTTAATGTGTTCCTGTGGGCAAAAAACTCAACGTTCTGCGGAAGTCCTCCACTGCCCGGTAAGCGAGGAAAGGGTGTGAAAACGCAGCAGGCGGCCATTTTCTTTACCCGGTGGCCATTTTGGAACCACCGATCAGCTGTTGGAAAAACATTGTTATGCGATAATTGGTAAGCGAAACAGCTTACCCATCATCGCAAAGCGATGTTTTCCCATTTAAAACATCGTTATGCGATCGCTATTTCGATCGCAAAAACTCAATCGCTATGCGGATTCGTCGTTAAATGAATCGCTCGTTAAGCGAGGCACCACTGTATCATGATCACTGAGGGAGGAGAAATTTGCCTTTCCCTTGCAGTTTCCAATCCCTCCTTTAAATATAACACATTATAGTTACAGATATACAGCACTTTCCCTCCAAAACACAAAGTGGGAAGAAGCTGTATTACAGAATTGAAGATGAAATTCAAAAGGTCTCCCAGCCCTACAATCTGAATAAAGCTAGACTTTGTCATTTCTATGCCACCTCTGGTAACTAAGCACTGCTTCGTTGTGAGTATAGTTTGTAAATTCCTAATTAAGATATTTTCATAAAATTCAAACTGCCTTAAATTTGAATCAATGCTTAAGTTACTCTTTGCTTAAACATGCCTTAAAAATATACATAAAGCCTTTACTAATACAGTTAGAACTTACAGCAAAAGGAAGTAGTATTTTCCCCGTTATCAACTTCACTCTACTGTATTTTCATGTCCATATAAAACCTATATTACATAATCTGCAAACATCTCAACATATTTTAGCTACACATTGGGCTGCCTTTGAAGATAGCTCTAAAACTACAACTGGTACAAAATGCAGTAGGAAAACAGTTCTTGGTTGGAACCAGACCACAGACATATTACCACCTGTTCTTTTTTTATCTGTACTGGCTGCCAATTTATTTCCAGGCCAAATCTGTCTTGACCTTGAAAGCTCTAGCAGAGCAATCCCATGCATGTTTACTCAGAAATACAACTTATCAAATTCACAGGGACTTTATTCTCAGTTTCAGTGTACATACAACCTTGCAACCTAAACTACTTAAAACTCAGAGTGTGGTAAGGTTCTCCCACATGCTCTCTGAAAAACTAACTTGTGGAATTCTGAGGTACTACCACAGTAGTAAAGTTTTCATCTGCTAGAAACAGGACATTTTTGGTAATGGCATTTTTTACTAAGTTTTTATTGGACTTGAGAATTCAGGGTATTTTGCCACTACTATGATATTTTTCATTTATAATTGATTTTCCCCCTGTAATGTTTATACTATTTTATCTTCTAATAAATTTCCTAGCAAGATAAAAATTTTGATATCCCAGCACCTTTAAAAACTCTCAGCTCACTGAGCTGGAACACCTGGTTAGAAAGGGACAGTCAGCAATTCGATTCCCCAATGTGCCGTGCAAAAGAGTAAGCCTATGTGGCTTTGGGCACACTACATGGTCCTAGAGAGCCCTCAGAATGGTAAACCACTTCTGAGTAGTTTAGAAACTACTGGCAAGGACTGTCAGAATAAACTGGGTAGCAGACAATTAATTACTGTTCAAAACTTAAAACTGCATTTGGGAAGTTATTAAATTTCTCCCAAACACAAGCACATTGCTTCCTTCTTGTGATTTGTTTTGCTTTAGAAATTCTTTTAGGAAGTCTTTTTGATTTTATTCATTTTCACTCAGTAAAAGCTTTATTTAAAAGAATCATAACACCACAAAATGATATTTAAAAGCTTCCAAAATTAGACTGCTCTTGTTAAAATCAGCCACTCTTAACTATATAGAGAAGTAGCTTTGACCATCTCCTGAAAACCTGAATTGATAAGGCTACCACATTACTTTATAATGCAGTTTCAAAGTTATTACTGTTACAACAGAGGCCCTGCTTCTTGTGCAAACTACTTTTTCCTCCAGTGATGGAAAAATATACAGAAAGGTTTCTCTAAATTATCAGTGTAGAGAGCAATGATTCTCAACCTTGGGTCTCTAGAAGTTCTTGGACTAAAACTCCTCAAAATCTTCACCACTAGTTGTGCTGGCCAGGATTTCTGGGACTTGTAGTCCAAGAACATCTGGGGATCCAAAGTTGGGAAGCACTGACCTAGAGTGAAAGGGAGACAGCAGGTTGTGGTGGCTGCTGAGTCATTTACAAAATATCTTATAAATGCATATTGGACAGTCTTACTGGTGTCTGCAATCTATGATAAGAAGTCAGTCTCCAGGGACAGTGATGTCAGAACTAAATACGTGTGCCACATGAGAAGGCTGTTCTGGTTTTAAATGTTTTGGGTTGCCTTGTTCACTCTTGAATGAAGTTTTTAACATAAGAACCTAAGAAGAGCCCCCTGCTGGATCAGGCCAAGGGACCCATCTAGTCCAGCTCCCTGTATCGCAGGGGCCCCACCAGATGCGTCTGGGAGCCCACCAGAGACCGCAAGATACCTGTCTCCTGATCCCTCTTCCCTACATCTGGCATTTGGAAGTCCCTTCCTTCGAAACCTGGAGATTACGCATCC